TATTTGAAAAGAAGAGCATTTCAATATAGCTAAAAAAGTGGACAAAATAAGATTCATACTTTCTATATATATATATATATATTATATATATATATATATATATATATATATATAATAACAATAGAGGCTCTCAAAGATTGCTTTAAAGGCCATTTAAAAACTGCATTCCTTTAAAACCCACCTCTACAATAATGTTAATTTCTGCTAGCACCACTATAGGATTCTTGTAGTATGTTAGCCCTAAGCTAACAGTGATTTACATGAACATCTTTTGCTCATTCTAGATTACATGCAGACATCTGAAGCTCATAAAAAAATCCTATTTTATTTAAAGCTTCCAACATTTATAAATATATATTTTTATCTTGTAGCATTTTATAGTAACTCTTTCAGTAGAGAGCTCTGACGTAGTACTGCTGCTGTTTTCCATTTCTAACATCTGACCGAAACGCTCTGGTCAGGCTACCACTTGTATGCACGGTCCGTTACATATCTAGGACTTCCAGAAGGCCCAGAGTGATGTTTTTCCTGTTGAAATTACTCCCATCCATTGGAAATCAAAACGATTGTCTGATTCCAGTGTCTGTTCTTAATCATGTTAGTGGTCAATCGGACACATTAGGCCTTCAGTTCAGCTAAGTACTAACCAATGGAAGAGCTCACTTGGCTGTATCTACCTAGATGTCACAGAGACAAAAACATTGATTGGATAATTTTCTGTTGGGCGTTTCAAGAATTTAACCCTTTCTGTCTTTAACCCAAATACCTGCTCTGGGTCCATGGGGGTCCTGACCACTGAAGAACAGGGTAAAAGGGGGCTAACAAAGTATGCAGAGAAACAGATGGACTACAGTCTGTAATTGTAGAACTACAAAGTGCAACTATATAGTAAGTGGACCTGATAAAATGGACAATGAGCGTAGAAACAAGCAGGTGGTCATAATGTTATGCCTGATCAGTGTATATTTCATACATATTACATCAACAAAATTTTAACTTTCAGTGCAACAATTGTGTTGATGTATTTTATTCACGTAGAAACATTCTCCATTTTTTTGTGTGTGTTAAAACAAATGAAGTGTGAATAACTACGAGGACTGATGGTGTTTGGCCCAGAATCTGGCGGACCGCCCAGACACGTAGCTGCGGTGAGCAGGTGATGCTCCGGCTCCTGACACACTGTCTGCGGAGACCTGTCACACAGCAACATCTGGAGCACTTAAACGAGCCCTGACGAACATTACCATTCATTTACATTTAACAGTGATAGAGAGTGTGTGTGTGTGTGTGTGTGTGTGTGTGTGTGTGAGAGAGAGTAAGAGTGTGTGTGTAGTGTCCATCTGGGAAGGTGTCACCAGGGTCAAGTAGTGCATTCTAATGCCTCTGTGCGACTCTTTGGCCCTGTGCATGTGCCTCACAACCAGAAAAAGTGAAGGTGACTGAGTCCACCACAGAGGATCTGGGACTCAGTGAGACCATTAAAGTGCACACACAGTGTGTCAGCACATAAGCAGTTTGACTACGAGATGTTTCCGCAGCTGTCAAACCACGGACGTATTCTGCCATGGCCCTCAGCAGCCTGGAGGAAGCCACCAAAACCCACCGGAACCCACGAAGTCTGTACAATATTTACACTACACACACACTGTAAGCAAACCCTGATCGCTTTCAAACATCCGAGAGCATACAGTCCAGTGCAGAAGTTTGGGCGCCACTGGTCAAATGACATGTTTTGTTGATTTTCTAAGTGAAATTACGTACACATCCTCTACAGGGGACAAATGTCAGCTCATCTTAATGCACAATTACTGTTTGTTTGCTGACTTTAACATATTTGGGGAAAAAATAAAAATGTGGTCTGTGCAAAAGTTGTAGCACATTTTGTATTTTATGTTTTTTTTTCAATATGCTACAGGAAATAAACAGAAATTGTGCACAAAACCAACAAAACATGTCACTTGACCAGGGACATCCAAACTTTTGCATGTGACTGTCAGTGTAGAGCTCAGCTCTACCTAAGCTCAGAGAACCAGACTACAGAAACTTCTCAGAACAGCCAATGTGGAGTTATCCTCTAAAGCGTAGTTCTGCTGGGGTGTAATATTTTCAGACTCACAAAGTTTGCTTCAACAACTAATTGAACGAAAACTTTTTTTTCCAAATAAAAAGTAGTTATTAATCTTATGGACACACTGCATGTGCCCACAACATCAGAATTTTTATGTATTTCTACGATGTAAATGATAACAGCATACTTTACTACAAAATGTTAGGCAAAGGTTTTTATTTTTGAACAGACCGATATTCTACTCAAAAGGTTTTTAGAAAAAAAGTCATTTTTCTAACTTAACTAAGACTACCTTCTAACTAGCATTTTAACTTAAACACACGCTGGTAAGCTTAAATACGAAAAAAAGAAGGAGTAGAAAATGAGCATGGGTTAAAAAAATGAGGAAAAAAGTTAAAACATGGGTAAAAGCAATGTTTATAAAAGCTAAAATGTGAAAAAGGAATGTGGATAAAAGCTAAATGCAAAAAAGGAATGTGGATAAAAGCTAACATGGGTAAAGAAATGTGGATAAAAGCTAACATGGGAAAAAGGGAATGTGCATAAAAGCTAAATGTGAAAAAGGAATGTGGATAAAAGCTAACCTGGGAAAAGGAAATGTGGATAAAAGCTTACACGGGTAAAAAGGGAATGTGGATAAAAGCTAACATGAGTAAAAAGGGAATGTGGATAAAAGCTAACGGGTAAAAAGGGAACGTGGATAAAAGCTAACGGGTAAAAAGGGAATGTAGATAAAAGCTAACGTGAGTAAAAGGAATATGCATAAAAGCTAACCTGGGAAAAAGGAATGTGGATAAAAGCTAAATGGGTAAAAGCAATGTGGATAAAAGCTAACATGGGTAAAGAAATGTGGATAAAAGCTAACATGGGTAAAAAGGGAATGTGGATAAAAGCTAACATGGGTAAAAAGGGAATGTGGATAAAAGCAAACATGAGTTAAAGGAATATGGATAAAAGCTAAATGTGAAAAAGGGAATGTGGATAAAAGCTAACATGGGTAAAGAAATGTGGATAAAAGCTAACATGGGTAAAAAGGGAATGTGGATAAAAGCTAACATGGGTAAAAAGGGAATGTGGATAAAAGCTAACAGGTAAAAAGGGAATGTGGATAAAAGCTAACATGGGAAAAAGGGAATGTGGATAAAAGCTAACATGGGTAAAAAGGAATGTGAATAAAAGCTAACATGGGTAAAAAGGGAATGTGGATAAAAGCTAACATGGGTAAAAAGGGAATGTGGATAAAAGCTAACAGGTAAAAAGGGAATGTGGATAAAAGCTAACCTGGGTAAAAAGGGAACGTGGATAAAAGCTAACATGGGAAAAAGGGAATGTGGATAAAAGCTAACAGGTAAAAAGGGAATGTGGATAAAAGCTAACAGGTAAAAAGGGAATGTGGATAAAAGCTAACATGGGAAAAAGGGAACGTGGATAAAAGCTAACATGGGAAAAAGGGAACGTGGATAAAAGCTAACAGGTAAAAAGGGAATGTGGATAAAAGCTAACCTGGGTAAAAAGGGAACGTGGATAAAAGCTAACATGGGTAAAAAGGGAATGTGGATAAAAGCTAACAGGTAAAAAGGGAATGTGGATAAAAGCTAACCTGGGTAAAAAGGGAATGTGGATAAAAGCTAACATCGGTAAAAAGGGAATGTGGATAAAAGCTAACATCGGTAAAAAGGGAATGTGGATAAAAGCTAACATGGGTAAAAAGGGAATGTGGATAAAAGCTAACATGGGTAAAACGGGAATGTGGATAAAAGCTAAATGGGTAAAAGGAATGTGAATAAAAGCTAACCTGGGAAAAAGGAGTGTGAATAAAAACTAACATGGGGGGAAAAAAATGGAAAAAAGCAAATGTGAGTAAAATGTAACACAGGTAGGGAAACAGGTAAAAGTGAAGTAAACACAGTAATGTGTAAAAGGTGAAAGGCCTGTGTGTGTAGAGAGAACGGTGAGTTAAGTGTTTTAAAAAGTGGGTAAAATTGTGGGTTTATCTGTGTAAAAAAGAACAAGGAAGAAAAACAACATGAGTAAAAAATAATATAAAAAGCAACATTGCTCAAAAGTCAAGTAAATGAAATGGCTATTAAAGCAGCCGTGGGAATAGCGAGCGCTAGGCTAACAGTGACTTCACAATTCACAGAGTTAATTATGCAGAGCTCAGGATGTTGACATTCCAGTTACTAATAGTGCTTCATCATATTCAAAGTTAGAAAATATTTCTTGTTATTCTAAAGACTCTTAATATCATACTTAATTTCAAATGCTTCATATAACTTCATATGTCTTTTTGAAGACATAAAAGCAGAGTAATTTATTCTCCCTAAATTGCTCGTTTGATATGCAGGGTTGTTTGTCAAATCAGATAAAAAAATATTATATTTTTTCCTCCTCCACCACATTCATTATATAAAGTTTCTCAAGGGTTGCCTTTGACCAAACTTTGTATGAGAGAGAGAGAGAGAGAGAGAGAGAGAGAGAGAGAGAGAGAGAGAGAGAGAGAGAGAGAGAGAGAGAGAGATCTTCTATGGACTCTAATGAGTCAGAGCCTTTTTTCACTGTTTGAGGGCAGCAGAAGTGAAAAGACTTTCACTGTCAGATTCTACAAAATGCACTGCTCTGGAATGATCCCTCGCTCCTCTCCTCCGCTTCGATACGTCCCTCCTGGCTCTCCTACCACGCTTCAAATCTCTCCTGCTCATTCACTTGCTCGCTCTCTCCTTTTCACCGCTATCTACATTCTCCCTCGTTCCCTTCAGACAGAGCTTTGCGGCTTTTACTGACTGGTCGGCTCCCGAGGCTCACGCGGGGAGATGATTATAACTGAAAACTGTCCATCACTGTCATGAGGACGGGGATGGAAGGGATTGAGGGATGGATGGATGAAGGGTTTCTTTTGTGTGCTGTGATGGAGAAGTGGAATAACCCTCACCTGTGCCTGTACTGTAGTGCTGGAGCTTGTCACTGTACACCGCCTCCTTAGTGTAGGCACGCTTCCTGCGAGAGGAGAGAGAGAGAGAGAGAGAGAGAGAGAGAGAGAGAGAGAAAATACATATAAACCACCATTCAAAAGTAAAAAAAAATCATTAAATTAACAGAGATTGAGCACTAAAATGCTGTTGCTTTCTTGAAATAAGAGTTTGAAGGAATATGTAAACATTTTCAAGATTACTGTGATGTAGCTGTTATTCTGATGTACACTTACAGTAATAATCTGTTACTAAAACACAATAATTTCCTGTATTTTTACATAACAGCAATAAAAAGTAATGCAGTTATAAACAGTAGCCAGTAATTAACTGTACATTTACATATGGATTGCTCTAGAAAATGTCAAAAAAATAAAAGATATTTATTCACCATGCTTCGTGTTGTTCATGCACAGAATATCTCAAGTATGCATTTTAAACAGTATTTGCTGTATTATCACAGAAAATACTTTAAGATCAGATGATTTCACAATAAACTGATAAATACAAGTTTACTGTGAAACGTGTTAAATACTGTGAAATTTCATTGAACGTGCAATGATATACAGTGTGTCACAGTGTGTTTATTCACTGTTGTTTTAATCTGAAAGCTAATATTGAATAAAATAACACCTCTCAGCTTGGAGTTTACCCAAATAGTCTGTTCAAAAAAGCTAACATGGCCTTCAAATAATGAAAGCTAGCAGTTATCATAGTGGATATTATTAGGCTAGTTTTTATTTTTTTAGCAATGTTAGCTTGTAGAAGTGAAAAGATGTATTTACATTTTATGACCAAGGCTCTGATCTTGGTCTACGGATGCACATGGACCTTCATAGATAATTATGATGATGATGATGATATAATGACGATGGTTTTCTTACCTGCTGCAGACTATAGAAATGGCCACTAGAGACACGATGAAGACCACAGCAGCTGCTGCTGAACCGGCAATCAGTGGCAACTGCTCCCTTAACTCAGACTTGTAGTCTTCTGCAAAAATAGAGACAGAGAGGGAGAGAGCAGAAGAGAAATCGGGTGAGACTGGCAGAAGAGATGCATGTTAAAAGCTCATGTTCTAAACACAAAAGCCACAATAATTTGTCAGTGCTTTGTTTGGGTCCCTTGACCCACCAAAAAACTCGAGCTACAAAGTGCACAGCTGAAACCAATCAACACAGAGGCACTTAAAACATGAGCAAGAGAAACACACGTTCATTTAAGAGAAGACAGAGAGAGGACATGAGAGAGAGAGCAAAGAACTCGAGCAGATTAAAAAGATAAAGACAGGTAGGGTAAAAAAACAGGGAGCTACATCCTTCAAACACATCAACATAGTGTGACCATATTTCAAAAAGGCTAGTTTACTCCAAAATGCTAAAAGGTTAATATGAATGGTTTACACCAAAATGCTTTAACAGTTAATGAGGTAGGTTCACTCCAAAATGTTAACATGGTTATTGAGGGTGTTCACTCCAAAATGCTAACATGGTTATTGAGGGTGTTCACTCCAAAATGCTAACATGGTTAATGGGGGTAGTTCACTCCAAAATGCTAACATGGTTACTGCGGGTGTTCACTCCAAAATGCTAACATGGTTAATGAGGGTAGTTCACTCCAAAATGCTAACATGGTTATTGAGGGTGTTCACTCCAAAATGCTAACATGGTTATTGAGGGTGTTCACTCCAAAATGCTAACATGGTTATTGAGGGTGTTCACTCCAAAATGCTAACATGGTTAATGGGGGTAGTTCACTCCAAAATGCTAACATGGTTACTGCGGGTGTTCACTCCAAAATGCTAACATGGTTAATGAGGGTAGTTCACTCCAAAATGCTAACATGGTTATTGAGGGTGTTCACTCCAAAATGCTAACATGGTTAATGAGGGTAGTTCACTCCAAAATGCTAACATGGTTAATGAGGGTAGTTCACTCCAAAATGCTAACATGGTTAATGAGGTAAGTTTAACATGGTTAATGGGGGTACTTCACTCCAAAATGCTAACATGGTTACTGAGGGTAGTTTACTCCAGAATGCTAACATGGTTAATGAGGTAAGTTCAACATGGTTAATGAGGGTAGTTTACTCCAAACTGCTAACATGGTTAATGAGGTAAGTTTAACATGGTTAATGAGGTAAGTTTAATATGGTTAATGGGGGTACTTCACTCCAAAATGCTAACATGGTTACTGAGGGTAGTTTACTCCAGAATGCTAACATGGTTAATGAGGTAAGTTTAACATGGTTAATGGGGGTAGTTTACTCTAAAATGCTAGCACAGTTAATGAGGTTAGTTCACTCCAAAAGGCTAATATGGTGAACAAAGGTTCAAATCAAAATGCTAACACAGTTAATGCCAAAATGGTAACATGGTTAACAGATGTGCTCCCCAAAAGGCTAAAACAAATCTGTCTGTCTATCTATCTGACTTTATAGGTCCAGTATAGGTAATATTACATTTTAATTTTAATTATCTTTGTGTTTTCTGATGTGTAAAGCACTTTGAATGATCACAGGGTATGAAAGGTGCTGTATAAATGAATTTGCCTTGCCTTGCCTAGCCTATATAGGTGGACAATGAGACATTGTAATCCATCTATTGGTCATGCACAATTGAAATTGAGTGTACAGTACTGTGGAAAATTCAGAGACTACCCTTCATTTATTTATCAGTCAAAATGGCCAGTAATTTATTGGATTTCTTTAATGTGGATGTTTTCAGATCTGAAGCTTGATTTTTTTCCTCTCTCTCACAGATGAAAGCTTTAAGTGAACACAGTATTGTATATATGAATGTGCCACGCAGGAGAGCAAAGGACCAATCAGAAACGAGAGAGCTTATGTGGAGTCTTTCAGAGAAGATTGTATCTACAGAATACACTGATATAAGGTGTTGAGAGACAGTCCGAATGAAAGGAAGACACAAAAAGGGAGGAATCATGAAGGGCAGAGGAGACGGTGGGTTTAGACAGAACTGAGTGAAAGGCTTTGTGCTGGAGCATGCCTCTACTGGAACACACACTGCAACTGAATTCAGACTGCCACTTCAGAGGAGCAACAGACCAAACATGCCACTGGGTAAGAGTGTATATATGTGTGTTTGTGTCTTTGTCTGTCACCACTTCACTCATTCCTAACATAACAGCATGCACACAGAAAAACAGCCAGGCCGAATTTCTTTAAGCAGCTCGAAACTGGAGAACACGCACGCCTGAAGGCCTAATGATTTTTAGCAACTAAATGCATTAAATGCACCAAATTAAATATATGTATTTAAATTTTGCTTTATATTTACTTAATCATCGTGATTGAGTTCTTGATGAACTGTGCAAGTATTGCAGTAATACTCCTGTTACAGTGTTAAGTTTTGAATGGAAATAAATGGGTTAAAATCTTGAAATCCCAACTGAAAAATATTTCTTTTGTTATTGTTTTTCTCCCGTTGCTTAGGACTTCAGGAGCTGGACTAAAGGCATTTACATGTTACATTAATGCTCCATTTGACTTAACTTGGAAATGGGAACTTGGAGCTCGGAATTACATCATTTTCTACCTCCGCTTGTTTGTGCTACAAAGTGAAGAAACAGATAGACACCGCCATGAAGGTGAGCATTATTAGCTAGCCAGCCAACATTAATGATATGAGTGATAGCTTTAAAGTTTATGATGTATTTATCTAAAAGTGAATTTGAAGATAGATTTTACAGATTCCGCTACTGTGTGAAGTGTCTATATGTTGGTTGACCTAAAGCTAATACTACTATAATCTCACTTAAAATTAGAGAAGTGATACTTTATTACATGTGTAGTTCTGTTAGCAGCCATGCTGATATGATGTCCAATGCTGACTTCGGAGTTGAGACCCCTTCTCGACTTTACAAGCAGAAATAAAGTTTAGTAGTAGTCAGAGTTTCAGTCATGTTTCAAATGATCAACTTCTTTGTCTAGTCTGTTGCATCTGAAACAGTCCACCTTGTTTTCAAGGTAGCGGATATAAAGGAATGGCCGGACTCAGTTTCTCAGTACAAGTTTCCTCTTGTACTGCCTAAAGCAGGGGTGTCGAACTCAACCACTAAAAGGGCCACATTAAAAGATTAGCAAATCCGTGGGCCAGCTGTGTTTTTCATTTTTACTTTTTGCCATGAACCGAAGGGGCCATTATTTATTCAAAATATGCCAAAACTGCAACAGCAAAATAGGCATTAAATACTTCATAAAAAATAATTCTAAATAAAAATTAATTGTTTTAGGTAGTTTTTTAAAACTTCTCATTTGCTTGAACTAGACGTCTTTTCTTTTTGTGCAACCGCTGGCCAGAGATAGTTGTTGTGGGAAGGGGGTCGGAATGCACACTATGCTGCAGTGCATGCTGGGGACTGTAGTGCATCTCAGCGTGAAACAGGCTAATAACAACAGAAAATTATAATAATGTTGCGGGCCGAATAAGACTGTGTCATGGGCCTGACTTGGTCCAGTGAGCCTTGTGTTTGACACCTGGGGCCAAAAAGGAGCCATCTGCCTCAGTCACCTGCATCAAACAATGCCACAGTCAGGGCCTTGTATTTGAAACAAGCTGTGGACCAGCATGTCCTGAAGCACGAATGACTGTAAAATGATTGTACAAATTCCAGTAGTGTCTGATGGTCAGAGGCACAAGTGTGAGTCGTGTTTAATCTAGAGTGGCCAAAAATGTTCTTGTGTACTGGAAATTCCATAGGTGTGCTAGCAAAAATCAACATTTTTGTAGAGGCGTTTTTGCTTTTGACATTTACAGCCTGAACTGAAGGTCTAGCTCCAACTGAAAGATCGCCATACACACTCGCTCACTCACCACACACAAACACAAGAGCGCTTCCTTTCATGAAGCAGAATAGGTTCTGAGATCTGCATTTGTCAAGTTTGAACACATAACAACTTCTAAAGAAATTCCAGACATTATGTCTACCTGAATGAAGGAATTTTGTCTTCCATGACAACACTTCATTCTTGAGCAAAACACATGCAACACATGCTCACTTACTCACTGACACTAACGAACTAAAATGAAAAGAATCCACACAGCATACAATTGTGTTGATGTGGCAGAGCTTAAAATAAGGATGTGTTTGTTTTAGTGCACTAAAAGAAAAGTAACTCTTCAAGGGTTCTTTAGTAAAGATGGTGGCTATTTATAGAACTGTGACAACTCAAAGAACCATGTGAACGCATAAATGGTTCTTTATGGTTGCATGGATCTTCTGTAAAAGCTATTGTTCATGGTTCTCTAAAAAAGCCTTTAAAAAAAGGTCACTGATGCAAAGCACTGCTCTTATTGAATATCAAAAGCTATTTGACTGCTAATGGCGCCCCCTTATGGAGAATGTTTAGCCTGCTAAACATGAGTGAGTGAGTATGCGAGTGATTGAGGAAATTACAAGGTAGTTCCAAGAGGTACTTCACATCTAACAATGGTTCTATAAAGCACTGAGACCCCACTAAGCACAAAGGCAGTGAATAGAGATGTTACACTAGATATGGACATGCATGCTTTTTTTTCTTGGGGGGGTATTTAAAATTCAAAAGGAGGCAGAGGTTGTAGAAGAAGAGTCTCTGATTTTACTTATTTCAGGTTAGTGAAGGGCAAAGCAGGGCCAATCCAGGACTGTTTAGTGGAAAAATATTTAGCAAAGTTGGCCAGCTAGCTAGGAATTAATTTGGAAAAATATGCAAATGTTAAGTATAACCTAAATTAAGCTTAATCATAGATATTCCTCATTATTTCAGCCTCGGTGGTACTACTAATGTTAATCTGACTGGCGTTAGCTGCCTACTACTACACACAACTAAAGCTAGGCAACTTGGCTAAAACATTTACTTGCTAGTTAGTGAACAGTATAACATTATCCAAGCCAGTTGTGGCTAAAGAGAAAAAGAGTCATTCATGCTTGTCTGCTTACATCTCATTAAATATTTACCTCACTTAAAGTAACTGTTAACTAAGGATAAAAGCT